ATGTGAACGTGGATATCACGTTGGGCGATTACACTTGTGCGTGCGAAGCATGCCGTCGAAAATTCAAAAATCTCGGCTGACGACCACATCTCCCAAAAAATGTGGTCGTGTACAAATCAACATACGCCGCCATCTCTTTTATAAGAGTGCCACCTACTTGACGTCCCTAAAAGAACATACTCGACGTAAGTCCAGCCTGCGGCATGACTGGCCGCGTGCAGTAGGTACAGCAGCAGTCGCTGGCACGGTGTCACGTGTGCTGCCGTTGCTCCGACCCCAGAAAAAACAAAAAAAATCAAAATTGCATGATCATGTCCACATCGTGTTTGTACAAGTGTACAACTGCGCAGTTCACGACTTGCCTGCTGGAAGCGTAGTACCCGCTGCAACAGGTGGGACTAGATTCTCCTTGCTGACCTCGCAGGGCTGACCACGTTGGCTGCCCTCCCAGCTGTACCTGAAGGCAAGGCTGCCACAAAGCGCTTCCTGCTCTGTGTTGCACAAGGGGCCGTACTTCTTCGTTGCCCTGTCTCCTTTCCGGCTTGTGAACATGAGCCGTAGCCGCCACTTCCCCTTAGACCTCTCTGGATAGCATACGGGTTCAGAGGTTCTCTGCCAGCCATTGCGTGTGATTGCTGCTACTAGGCTCTCCATGCTGTGCACTCCTCGGTGCCAGCGGGTGCTGTGTGCATCCGTTGTGCACAATTTCAAAAAAAAATGAAATTCCGCCGCAAAAAAAGCGTTTCATAATTATTTTTCCCCATTCTTAAACCCAGATAACATGCGGAGGGTTATCTTTTTTGGAGAGAATGTGTTCAACACGATTTCGAGAGGCATGGGCAAATCCGCTGTGATTGGCTGATTGAGCAGATGTGCCGAGCTCGTTCCAATTCTGATTCCTTCAAAATTTATGGCTGGAAGACTGAATGTTAGCTTCTTGGCTGGCCCAGCTTGTACACTGACACCATTAAGCACGCATGGAACCGAAATGTTGCAACGCCCAACTAACAAATAACAGAAGACGCGGGAAGGGAATCTGTATGTTGCAGTGTGCACCACGAAAGTGGGGCCTCGAGACTTCGTAGGAGAGGGACGTGCGGTGACATGGGGGAACCAGCTTATTGTAGTAGCTCTGCACCAGTGTACGAAGCAAACACACACAAGATGTAAACCGTGCACGCACACACAACAGAGTTTCACGACCTCGCCCTAGGGTTTGGTTGGTCGTACGCGTAAGGTATGTACCACTGCTGTACAGCAGTGTGCAACGACGAACGCGGACCGGACGCGGCGCAACCGCGGTGAGAGAGATATTTGTAGTCACGACCTACAGGGTTAAAAAAAGTACTTCGAAGTAGTGGTTTTCACAGTCAATAAAGCGCTGGCATTTTCCGACGCCTCTTGCACGTATGATCAAGCAGTAGTAGATGCAGGGCTCGAGCAATTACACACACACACCGTGACATGTCCCCCCTCCGCGACTTCTTCTTGGCCGCCGGCGGAGCCTCCCTGGCCCGCTTCTTGCCCCTGCTGCTGCTGCTTGCCCTCCTGCTCCGACCACCGCCATCATCAGAATCTTCCTCGGACGAAGGCTCGGCCTCCTCCTCCTCCTCGTCCTCTTCCTCCTCGTCCTCCTCGTCCTCCTCCTCTTCCTCCTCTTCCTCTTCCTCTACGTTTTGCCCTTGGGGTTCATCCTCAGAGTCGCTGTCGCGCAGCCCGTCGTCGTCCGACATACCTCGCTGCGAGGCGCTTCTCTTGACACCTTCTGCGGGGAAAGAAAACAAAGCAACGAACTCAAACGCTCACTGGTGCCAAAAAGTGGTGGGCCCGGCAGCAACCCGAGCTTCCGATAGGCAGTGCTTTCCGATGACAACGAGATACTGCCACCTACCGCCAAGCGAGTTAACCCCGCTCCTCTCCCATACTAGCCGAGTGGCCTCTTGTTGCTTGTCTCTCCCCGTCAAAAACCACACTTGATTTTATATATTTCTCGGTGCTCCTGCTGCAGCTCACGAGGCTTATCTTACCGTGGTTGACGCCTACAGATCCAGCCTCCCGCGTTCCACCACGCGCGAGACACAGGCCGTGACAGAGAGAGCAGTGATTACGCCATGGATCGACATCACGTCAAATCACGATCGCAGGGGGTTTCGTGAAGAGAAAGGAGGAGGCATACATGTACCCTTGTTTTCTTTCTATCGCTGCGGAGCTCGCGGCTGTGGTACGGTGATGGCACTGCGTGTACCGTATGCAGTGCAGAGCATCGTGATGGCTTCTATCAACACTCTCGCGAGAGTAGCTACGATGTCGGTGGGGAGGTGAGGAAAAACTTTCCCCCCTCGTGAAATTCGTTTTTTGCCTTCCAATGCGCACGAAGGTCCGTTGCATTTTCCCCCGCTCTCCAGCAGGATGAAGTGTTTTACAGCAGACTTGTACTGCTGCTGCCTGTCGCACAGCTTGTGTGTTCCATAGGTTCCAAGAGGTCTCACTCAAACTGATATCCCGGAGGGCGTGTGAGTTATTCACGTTATATTCATGTATTGAGCAATACTCCGCCGCTTTTGTTTGCTTCGCGATGAAAGGGTTGCCCAACGTGCAAGGTGTGTGATGGACATGCAGCAGTAGCAGGTCGTAGTTGCCCTTCTCCGTAGACCGCTGCTGTGCACTCCCTCCCTCGAGAGCCAGCAGAGAAGGGTGATGCCGGCCAGCTCTCTCCGCGAAAAGGTTGGTGCAGGTGCTTAGCACATCCGTCGACACCGGAGAGAGAAATCGAAGAGCAAATTGTTCTCAACCACAGCAGTCCAGTCCGTTTTGATTACAGGTACCACGTGTCCGTGTTGTGAACGAGGAGAGCGGTCTCGACTGCTGTCAACAGCAGTACCATGTAAATAGCTGTAGCACCGGGGTGCAAGCCTGCCGCGAGTTCAGCTACTCTTGTTGTATCGGAGTGGGTTTACTATGTCGACGGAGGGAGCAAGCACGTATACGGATCGCCAACACAAAATAGAAGTGTACCGCTCAAGCATGTCCGCCGTGGAACTTTCAGCCGACTCAACAACAACGTCGCTTACCCTTGTGCGACTATCGACACCGCCTGCCGCACACAATAACAAGGTCACCGAAGTACGCACTACAAACACGTCGCGGTCATATTTTTGTAACCCATCATGAGATCCTGGGATTTGACATCACTCAACACTAGGTGAAGATAACACCCACCCACGTGCCGCTGAGTGATGAATTTTTTCAAGCGTAAGGTAACAGCAGTGTCACCGGCGGGGTGTGTTTTCCTGCGTGGTATTCGGCGGCTGATAATTGTGTAAGCTATGGAGTTTTGATCCCCCCGGGGAGGGAATCGTTTTTTTTAAACCAATCCCCCCCGGGGGGGGATATTGACGTACCGCGGGGGGTTAGTTTGTTGTTTTCCATCGCTACCCCGAGGGGAAGCCTCCCCCCGTGGGGTTGTGCAAAATAATGATGGTTCACACACCATACACGATGAAGGTTTACGAGCACGCGTTCAAAAATTCAAAGCCTGGTTTGGTGTGTTGTTGTTTGTGTAATGGCAACAAAGACGAAGAGAAAAAAGACACCAAGAGTACCATTGCCTGTGCTCATGCACAAGAATTCGCAGTTTGTCCGCAGAAACAAGCTATTTTTATCCTTCGGTTCTACCTTGAGTTGTGAGATCCAAAAATGAATACGATTGTTTTTTCCCTTTATGCACAAGGTTTCGTCAGCATGCTACATGGTACGTTTCAGCTGACGCCAGGGATGATAAATGCAAGGAAAAGACAAAATAACGAAAAATTTTCACCCATACAACAACAGCGAGGGCCAAGTGACAAACGGTACACCTAAATCTCGCTCGAAGCGTAGATCTGCAAGTGAATTTTCCGTCCCATGTCATGCTTTTTGTGCTCCGCGATGCAACAAAATCGACTCAGAAAAAAAGGGATATACATCCCTCCCGGGGGGAACTCGTGGGAAAAATGGTACCCCGAGGGGAAATTGACGGATTTTCTTTTTTTGGTCAAACACGATCTACCCCGGGGCTAAATCAACGAACTCATGCTTTTCCAGGCCGAAAAGGTAATAGGGGG